ACGACTGGCAACAGTTTGTACATTGCAAGACAAGCCTTATTATACACAGTGAGAGTACACATATTGGTTATGTGTGCTCAAACCCTGGCTGCCAGAAAGAAATACAGGAGAGTATGACTGTGTATTTACACAGTTAGATTCTACCAACTTGATGAGAAAAATTTTATCAGATGGCAGGATTAGAAGAACAATTGCCCTTCAAAACTAACCTTTGAACTAAAGTAACTATCACTGGTATCTGAAAGCATGTGGTGGAAAAGTGAGTTGACTTACTGCTGTCTTTCACACTGACTGCACATTTAATATCACGTGTAGCTTGAAATATTCTTTTTACAAAAGATTGCTGGACTCACATTTTAAAGTTAATAACTTTGTTAAAAACAACATCCTGAAACAAGCAATTACATAAAATCCTTTTGTCATGCTTGATCATCAGTGCGAAGTCTGAAAACAGTTTTTTCTCCTTGAGAAACACATTATTCCATGTAAATTGGAAAAGATATCAGAAGGATAAGGAGTTAACATGACTTTGTTTTGCAGTTACCAACTGCATAACCTGAATTAAAACTTAACTATGAAAACTCTAAGCAAGAAGTTGGTTCATATACTGCCATAAATCTGCTATGACACTATATAGAGATAAAAATATTAAGAGCAAATTAAAAGCATTTGTCCTTCAGAAAAATAAACCCACTGACCCAAAGGTAACGTTAGCCTAAAAAAAAAATTCAGTGTGCTATTACCTTCAGAGGCAGTACTAAATTACTCTTGATGAAAGATTTCCACAATTAAGTATGTGGTAAGAGACCATGAAACACTTTATGTTGAGTGTTACTAATTTGACAGGTGATGGACAGAGCACAGATCATCCAACAATCAATGCGAGATCCCAGAAACATTGCCAATTAAGTTTTTTACAACGTGATAGTACACCATGTTGTAAAACTTTGGGATTGGATTATACTTTGTCACAATACTTCAGTCTCAGACAGAAGACAGACCCATTATCAGAAATGTTTTACATAATGTTTACTAATTAGCTTGCTAGAAAATATAGCATGATCTATAAAAATAAGATTAACACAGACATTTCTGAGATCCACTTACACTGCAAATAAAGAACAAACATGTAGGTTATTCAAACAATAACTTTCCTACACATGCTTCAGCCGCACCTAATAAAAACAAAAGGAATTAGCAGGTTATCTTCCTGGATTGTCTCAAAAGTATGTAACTGTGCTCATCAGGGAGGTAAGGAACTACACAAAAATTCTTATCTTTGTAACATTAAAGTCAACTATAAAATTTTTACTCAACTACTACACAAGGACTATGTAAGCTTTGTTGCCTATAGCTTTGGACCTCAAATTTAGGAATTATAAGTTTTCATTACATTTGTTTTTCTCTAATATTTCTATTCTGGGTTTGAAGACAAATAGTCAAAGTGCAAGATGAACTTGTGTATGATTCCAGACTGAGAACAACAGTTCTTTCATTTACTGGGAAGATACAGGTTGTTTCCCTAATGGCCACTTTGGCCTGAACAACTTTTGCAAGCCATCAAAAGACTCCATTTTCATAAGCCTGTTACTCAACAGGTCAGCACTCTGAGTGAAGTAGATCTGCTATATTAACACAGAAGTAATGCCACACTGTGGATGATCTACAGTTTTTCTACTAACAGCTAAGACCTGTTTAGGGTCCTACCCTATGGAGCCATCTGAAGACTGAAGAACATTCAGTCTTAGAAGTTGTCAATATAGGCTTACTACTCCCATTTTTTTCAGAGAAACCCCAGGAGTGAGGAAAAAAGAAGTTAGATTACCTATATTTCTAGTACAACAGGATACACCAAACAGTAAAGACTAAAAATACCCTTCCATTTTAAGATCAAAAACAGTGTATACACAGAACCAAGCTGCCCACAATCAGCTGTATTTTATAAATAAAGAAATGATTACAAATTTAAAAAGTAAGTTTCTGAAAACTTGTATTGCTTGCAATAGTTACTCACCAGTTACTTACTGCTTTTAAATTTCTTAGTTCAACTACTGTTAAAATATTAGCGGGAAAAGCTAAAATATCATTAATATTTCGATGCCTATCAATATTCACTCAGTAGGCTACCAAACAAAATAAAGGAATAGTTATTTTTCAAGTACTGCTTTCATGTCCGTTATGCATATTTTATATACATATGAAAACTAATATACATTTTAAAGCTTTTACTGTGACAAAAAAAAAATGTAAACCATCAAATCTCATTGAGCTGAAAGCAAATACCAAGAAAACACCCCTGTACAATTTTAAGTCTAGTCTTGGGGATGGGAGGGAAAAGAGAAAGAACTGGAGAAAAGAGAAGATAGAGAAATAATCATAGCAATGCCTACTAGCTTCTAAAGTCTTACAAAGCAAATATGTCCACAGTGAGTTTCCCTAAGAAAAGTTTGGAAAATTAGTTTAAATTTAAGTCATTAGAATTCCTCTTCTTTCTCATTATAAAGGATATATTTCATATTTGTCAGGTGGTAACTACTCAAGTCCTCTTTCTGACAGCCTTTAAAGCACCAGGAAGCTTAATATTCATAATACACACAATACAGAAACTGTGGGAGTTAACCTGTTTGAGTAAACTTTTGCATCATGGTGCCAGAACTGCTGAATCAATATTATTTTTACTGAATAATGCAGAAAGAGAAACAAAAAAACACTAAACAACCTAATGAAAAAAAAAAAGTATTTCGAATTAAAATTACTGTTGGATTGCTACACATAATAAAACCACTCTCAAAACAAACTGCACACACTCTAAAAATGTTCCCAAGTTGCATGCCAGACTTACAGAATAAATTTAGGCCAGTACCAAGCACTCATTTCTTCCCCGTGTGTAAATGCGACACAATCAGGCCTCACATGCAGGCCTCTCTCTCCAATACAGGCAGGACCTTTGTTCGATACGTCGATGTTTTTCCCCCAAAGCCCTTGACATAACTTTCCATTCTTTCCCCTATTATTTTCCGGTTCACAGTCTAGACTTTCGGACTCCCGTTCTGTGAAAAACCCCTGGCTGTCGAGAAAGCCAGTGCACCAGGCGGGGGGGGAAGGGGAACAATAAAAAAGTTGAACAGCAGGAAGACGGGCCTACAGGTCTGGCGAGAGCCCCGGTATCGGTTTGTTTCCCAGCCCCGGAAAACCAGCACAGTTGGCAGGAGGGGGGTCGGCCCCAGCACGACCAGCACCTCCAAACTTCTCCCGCCCCCACAACCTCCCCTCCACCCCCAGCCCGCCGGGGAAGGGGAAGGAGGAAGAGCCAGGCAGGAAAAGCAGAACCCAGCGTTTGATCAGCCTCCAAGTACGACGCATTATGCAAGCAAACGCGAGGACCAGGCAACTTGCTTCTCGACCGAAAGCAACAAAAAACATCGGCTCTAAAAAACGAACAGTGGAAACAGCCCCTCTCGTGGGCAGCCGGCCCTGTAACTACCACCCCACAGGCGCCTCCATTCCATCCCCACCGTCTTCCTCCCCCGAAAAAAAGCTTGTGAAATATGGACGTCGGCCGATTATTTAGCATTTTTATCGAGCCGGGCAGGGGGGGGAAGAAAAAGGAGTTGCTGGGTTTTTTGTTTGTTTTGTTTTTTTTTTCTTTTAGGATATTCTATAGCTTCTTCAGAAAATAATAACATTTTTTAAAATAATAACAATTTTAAAAGGAAAGAAAGAAAGAGCCATTAGGGAAAAGGGGGCCAACCGGAGGGGGGCAGGGAGCAGACGGGGAAGGGCACACAAATCGGTACGGCAGTGTCAACACTGACACTGCCCTTTTGTATCGGCGGCCACGGAGGGCCCGGGGAGGGGAGGCCGGGCGGCCCTGCCCGGCGCGAGCGCGGCCCCGGAGCGGGCTCCGGTAACTGCCAGGCCATTTTGTCAGCTCCGCTTCCACCCCTTCCCTCCTCCGCCAGGGCCCCCTCGCTCCACTGCACACCTCCGGACCCCCACACACACACTCACCAGCGCGGCGCCGCGTCGTC